CAACCTAAGAGCGATGGCCTCCAGCCTAAGAGCCATGGCCTCCAACCTGAGCGATGGCCTCCAACCTAAGAGCGATGGCCTCCAGCCTAAGAGCCATGGCCTCCAACCTGAGCGATGGCCTCCAACCTAAGAGTTTTACCTGTACTGTACGTCCTTGCGAATGGGATCCTTGATGCCCACAGGGTCTTTCATACCCAGGTCTTGTGCCTCCCTGATGATGCGGCCATTGCTGCAGTGGCACTGGCTGAAGGTCCCTCATGCGGCCATTTCTCAACATCTCGAAATCGATTCATACAAATACAAATCTAAGAAAACTATGGAATCTGGTGACAATTTCAATGAGAAGTGTATTAATATTCAATATGTATTGTATATAAATAAATATATATATATATATATTATACTTACATTTATAGCTATGAACAATCAAAGCATCTCGCCGATATTTCTTGTAAAGACATACAAGCACCTTCCTGGAAGAACTTGAAGCGGTGGGAGACGAATCCTCGAACCCTCAGTCCATGCACGTCCAAATCAGGTTCCGACACTGTTATCGTCGATGCCAGTACTGCTCATCGAGTGGCTGAAGGCTATGGTCTTATGAGTCTTATGAGCATTTTGAGATTACTGGAGCATGCAGGCAGCCAAGGTAGTGCTACATTGCCCTCAGTGCTTACTCAACCCTGGTCTATGCCCTCTTTTTAAATACTAGACAGGTTGGAATCAACGAGACAGTGGCAGGCTGGCAGTATGGCTTTCCGGAGATGTGCAAAGAGCAGGTGGGAGTGCGCCATGTACCGACACCTGCCCATTTGATCAAACACAAGACATGTCTGTCAGTCAGACAGAATCACATCCTCCGGTAATCGAGCGATCTTTTGTCAGAAGCTAAACCAAACAGATTACATCCTCCAATGATGTCGCGGCTGGATGAACCACGTCTAAAAGCGTAGCGGCCAACGGCTGAGGAAACAGGTTGCATGATGTTGCATGTTGGATGCTTCGAATCCTTGGTTCTCTGGGGATTCAACGTGTCCGAATCGATTTGCAAATCCTCAGATCCTCAGGCTGAGGCCATTGCAAAGTCGAAGCGAATCGCCAATCCCGGCTGCTATCCTACAGGCGATGGCATGTGTGTTTTGCTGTGAAGGGCTTAAGACAGATAGTCTTGAGGGATACAGTATTGACTCAAGGACCCGCATGACCGTTGTGAGCAGATAGATAAGCACGTCGTTGGAAGCCTTGTGTTTCAGGTGTGCTGTGAATGAGCTATTCTCCAGCTACATGTATATATATATATATATATGTACAACTATATGTTATCACTCATGGCCACTCTAATCTTCTTGCTCAAGCTACAGAGATCATGAAAACTGTTGGGATATTTGAGACTGTGCTGAAACAGATCAGCCCGCTAGCCAAGACCTGCTTCAAAGATCTTCAGAGACTGTCAGCCAAGCTATCCAAAATGTTTGGCAGCCCCCTCTCAATATGGATGTGTTCAGACCTTAAAAGGCCAGCTGAAGCCAGCTGCCCCAGCCACATTAAAAACGCTTGTACAGCTCGCTCTTCACGACCTGATGACGACTGATGTGAAGGGGAAAGGCAAGAGCTCCAAGGCACCGCCACCGCCCAAGGCGAAAGGAGTGCAGCGGAGTGCATGCTGTCCATCAAGCGTTTATCAATACACGGTCATTTAATGGGGCATGAAGCCATGTGAACTTCTTGAGAAAGGAGTTTGCAGATTATTGCATATTTTTTGAAGCCTGGAAGGAGCGCAGAAAGGTTATGACGATGCGAAGAAGGCATGTTATGAAGACCAGGTCAAACCAGAGGTGCAGCCTGAATCCAAAGTGCCTCGACAAGACCTTAAATTATCATGCCGGTGATGCCATGCACATACAACACAATTGTATCCTGCAAACTGGAGTCTCCTACTCAAGATACCTTGTTTGTGGTGAAACCTTGATTCGGGGAAATGGCGCAAAATGCTTGGACCAACGTGGCCTCGATGATATCGGGGTCCAATTTGCCTTGACTCTCCTGCACTCACAGCATTTTCTTTGCCACCAACTGACACTGGGGAACGTCGTGAGTGCTTGAAAATGCTTCGTGGTCCAGAAAGTCACATCGGTGGCCCAAGGCGCTGCGGAAGCCAGTGCCGCGGGAGGCGTCGACATGTGCTTGACGTCCGATGCTTTGGGGGACGTTTGGGGTGGCGAGGATGGACTGAGAAGATGGCAGAAACTCGCAGATTCGAGGCTTGTCCTTGTAGACCTGATCTAGTACTCAATACTGGTTTCAATGACATTTACTATATGTACAGTGTCAGGTCAATAATTGTTGAGACAATACCGCTGTTCAAGTGATATCCGATTCTCTGACGGCCCACCAGGATTAACCGCAGTCTTTCAAGGTGCAGGTCGCTGCCTTTAGGCTGAGTTTAGACGTCTTGAACTCGGTGGCGTCGCCTCGATACGCTTCAAGTGCTCAAGTCTGGTGGGGTCATAAGGCCTCACACCCGAGTTGCGCGCTGGTTGGTGGGTGCACTAGTGATCACTAGTGGTGCTTTTGCGGCTGTTCGTGCCTGAATCTTCATGGCTTCTTCTGGGTTGACATGCTCTACCTGACGGTTTGTTGTGACAATGTTCTCCTGGAAGCCTTGAACATTTGTTTGGATGAAGGTAGTTGGCCTTTGAAGTCTGTGGTGTGGAACATGTTGTACTCTGGAAAGCGGTGTGTAGGTCCGAACACATTTTTTTGGTACCCTTCAGGCATCAGGTTACCATACATGTGGTTTCGGGTCATAAGTGTCATCGCAATGTGTGATGCTAGCGGCTAGCGGTGCCTTCTCACGAGTTTGAACCGCTTGCGGTTCTGCCAGCATTCTCGGACGCTCCTTCAATCAAAGTGCACTTTATCTCGGATGACGACGTCCGTGGTGATAAAAATGCAGCTTGTCTCCGCCGATAGGGTTTTCCTTGGCTTTTCTCTCCTCTTCCTCTTATGGATTCCAAGGTTTAAGTGGAGGACGAAGGTCCTGCGATGCCTGCAGGTAATGGAAGAGATGATGCCTCGGAATTTCGGAGTCTTCCATTGAGAGACGAGTCGTAGAATCACTCGCGCCACAACTTAGATCGTGCGATCAGAAGCATCTCCTCTCCCAGACTACTAGTAACGCGCATCGCTACTAGTAACAAGAAGCTACTAGGGGCTCCTAGCATCGCTACTAGGAGCAAGGACGCTACTAGGGGCTCCTGGCCTTACTACTAGTATAGCTCCTGGCTTTACTACTAGTATATTCCTTGATAGGCCTCTTCTGCTGCTCTCCTGGCCTTGTGGTCTGCGGGTCCTCTGGTAATGTGGTCCCTTGGTCCTTTGGTCCTCTGGTCCACTGGTCCTTTGGTCCGCTGGTCCCTTGGTCCTTCAGTCCACTGGTCCCCTAGTCCTCCGGTCTCCTGGTCCTCTGGTCCTGTGCTGCTGCTGCTGCTACTGCTACTGCTACGCTGGTGCTGGTGCTGGTGCTGGTGCTGCTGCTACTGCTACTGCTACTGCTACTGCTACTACTACTACTACTACTACTACTACTACTACTACTACTACCCCAACCATCCTCAGTGGGCTAGAATATTTTGTTTTGACTCCCTTTTTATTTTTTTATTGATCCCCGTTGAATATTTTTTTAATTTTTTTTTATTTTTTTTTTGATCCCTTACCCTTCACACATGGCTCCAGATGCTTGCGGCGTGGCTTGGACCTTACGTTGGCTCTATCTTGTAAAGGCTGTCTATGTGTAAAAATGGAAGCATAGGTCCCTTTGTGGTTTACCGATCTCCAAGTTGCTCCCTTCCAGGCACCTTCCTGATTGCCATTGCGCAATGATGGTTCCCATGTGTGTGAGAGGTGTGCGCAAAGGTGAGCTACGCTTCTTGTGCAGCAGATCTTGGCACTTTAAAAGCGGAAGGGGCAATGCTGGAAATCCGTGCCTTTGACCGAACAACGACCATTTGAAGAACATGTATTCCTTTATGAAGAAGCTGTTTGCCAGAGGTGTACAGCTATAAATATAAAGCTATACCAGCACAGAAGGATGTCATCAAGAACTTAGCTGCGAATAAGAAACCTGCAGCAGCCGTGTGCAAGAAAGTGTACAAAACGGTGGGAGGCAACCGACAAGCAGAACCCGGTCGAAGAATATCCTTGGTTGGACGCGCAAACCCAGCCATGACTCACATGAACTGCTCGACCATTCTGGTTTGGCAGTTTGGTTGGCTCACATCCCAGTGTTGGAGGCCTTTTCAGGCGCGCAACAGATTCCACATTGGGCTCTGCGCTGGCAGATTTTCTTGATTCGTCGCAAGACGAAACTTGGCTCTGGGAATGACTGCCCAGCAGTGTGAGGAGGTTGGTACAGTACCCTTGACCATGGACCTGGCTCGCGTTGGCTTCTGGAGCAGCATAAGCAATAGTAACAAGCGCAATAAGAATGTATATAAAGCAGCCTCAAGGGAATATGTTTCTTGTTTCACTGCACATTGACATACTGTATATATATAATATTATTATATAGTATTACATTAATGTAAAATATACTATTTATGTGTGTACTAATATCACTGTTGGAGATGGCGGAGGCCTTAAAGCAACTACCTGAGCTGCAGCTGTCTGATGGCTGCTGGGAGTCCTCCGAGAAACTGGCGGAAGTGTGTCTTGGCCGGCTCAAGTCCTGTTTATGTCACCTCGCAGACATGATGGGGCAGTTGCCGTGATTGGCGGATTCCTGTTCAGTTTCCTCGTCTTCCAACTTGGTTTGTTGGTTCCACTTCCATCTCTTCGAATATGTTCAACAGCGCCAAAGAGGAACAAGTTCACCAAGGAAAAATTGAGAAGAAACTTTGAATCGCATGCCTTCATGACCATCATGACTCACGACCAAAGAACAATTGCTCAATTGTGATCAATTGTGATAATTTATGGTTATCATCTCCTGCATGACCTAGACATCAAAGAATCTAAAGGGCATTGCTTTGGGGACGGCGTTTTCAAAACCAATACGGCTTTGGTTGGAAAGACACTTATGGCTTTGGAAACCGTTTCACACATCCGTCCAAGGTTGGGTCTCCATAAGTCAGCTCTGGAGATCCCTCGGAAGCCGGATAAACCTGTGCCAGCTTGGAGTACGATTGTAGCCACGACGCTGGCTTGCCAGGAGGGGAACCATAAGGAACCAGACAAACATGCATGATACGTGATACCAATCTTCTGGGAATTGCCTGCGCTAGAGCCGCTAGAGTAGAGTAGACCCAATCATCGGTAAACATTGACACTTGCTGAGTTGAGACGCGATAGCAGAGGTCTACATACGGTATACAGTTTTGTTTGTTTGCCTTCATATTGAATAGTAACGGAACACTACTATAGCTTATGGCCGGCATTGACGCATTTGTGCATGTTTTGTCCTCAGTTTTTGCAGCTCGTAGAATATCCCTTTGTACACAGAATGAAACATGGCAGGAGGGAAAATGTAGTTTTTTGATACCTGTGTAATTGCTTTCCAGGCAGACCTTGGACATGAACGAGACATAGTATGGGTATAGCAAATTGCCAAGAGCAGGGACCCTGAACCCCTCCTCCTAGATTCTGCACATAATAATGCTTCCCCACAGATTGTGCAGTCAATTACCGTGTGACATCTGAGCTTAAGAGGCCTTGCAACGTTGCATCAGCCTTGTTGGCGAAGAACATCAATTTGCTGCAGCTGGGCGAAGCGAAGCGATGGCGGCTCCTCGGTGCATTAAGGAACACCCTTTTCATGTTTTGCGGTGCTCCACTTCCAATTGATTAGTAACAAGAAGCTATTAGAAACAGGTGCCACGCTAGTAGTAACAAGTGCCTTACTAGTAGTAACAAGAAGCTATTAGGAACAAGGGGGTCTTGGCCTTCATGAGTCAGACGACCCAATTTTGTTGACGCATGAACCAGATTATGGACAGTAACGGGCAGGAAGTAAGGAAGTACGAGGGGTGACAAAGGAAGTGCCCATTATCTCATGGAACCTTAAATTGATTCCTAAATTACACATCTCCTTCTGTCTTAGGTAGCCTCGGAACATTCTGATCTCGGGGACAAATTGCTGGACAAAGCTGGAGAATGGCTGGAAGCTGCATGGGAGAAGGTCCGAAAAGATGAACTTTGATTTTGTATCAGACGGATTTATCGAAGTGCGAGAGTCCATTGGCTGATTGAACTGGCTTGATCCAATCACAATGCGCGACTACTTGTAGTCAACGCATGAGGTCACGTTCAGCAGATCAGTCTTGATGCTTCATACCCTACCTGTGGAGGCGAGTAGCCTGGTGCGACCACGTCAGCGCATGGAGCTCGACCTCAAAGTAAAGACAATAATGCAGGAGCAGCTCCCTTTGCTGCAGTGGAAGGCACGTCTAAATGAATTGGCTGCATTGGGCCCCTGGAAGGAAAGTGGACTCAAAGCACCACCCCTTCGCTTTTCGGAACTTCTGTGGTGCTCATTCCATGTTTGAGCGCAGGCACAGCTTAAAGCCAAAATGTCCATTCACAAGACTTGTCACTTGGCTCGAATCGGTGTCAGAGTCTTGGAATCCGTGACACCATGTGAAACTGATGATTCTCTCAGTCAACCTCAAGTGTTGAATAAGCTGAAGAACAGTCAATTGTAGTCCCACTCAATGTCGATGGAGCGTGTCCATTTTGCTTGACATTCGGGACAAAGGTGCTGTTTGCGGCAGCGAGTACACGGCGGCTGATGCTTGGATTATCGCTTATATGCGTGGTTATGTGTGGTCAATTGAACGGTTTATATAAGAGGCTTTGTTAATTAATAGATGTTGAAAGCATGGCAGACAGCAGCTTCTTTTTCCCGGTAGGAAATCACCTACGTTCAAACGTTCCGAGGTAGACAAGTGCATGAAATGCTTTCCGCCTGAACAGCCCATCCATGCAGCTTGGCAGGATGGCCATCCCGGAGTGATGCATGGAATACTTACACTAGGCCACCCTTGGCCACTACTCTGTGCTGTTTCCTTCAAGTCCATCGAGCTCATTCACACCCTTCACACACGGGCACTTGACTTGGGTAACCCTGAGCCAGAGAGGCATTGAAGTACTTGGACATGTTTGTAGGTGGACTCGGAGCATGACAAGTGGCGGCTCTTGCCGCCGGCACCACTGCATGTGGACTGGAGGCAGTGCGAAGGCGGACAACTCAGCTTGGCAAAGACGTGTGCTACACCAAATCATCACCTTTTTTCGTCCAAACGTGTGCAATTGTTTTAATCAATGAAACACCGAATGCCCCAAAATGTTTAGTATTCTGCCGTCACCACTCACCTTTGATTGCATACGGATCCTGTTCTGGTGAGTCTCTTTGACGCATGAGCTACTGCAATCTGCAAAGGAGATGTATGTTGCAAAACGAGGGCTCAATCATCATGAGCATTGCGTCCCATATTGGGGGGGTGTTGTCCTTCAACAGGGGTGCCGCGGTGCCTATGTCCGATCAGAGGATGAACCGCTCTTGAAAATGGCCTTGTCCTGACACCCCAAAGATCACAAGAAAATACAAGAAACAAGGGTTTTGAAGATTTTTTCCAAGTGCTGATTGAGGATGACGTGTAGGTAGACCTCCAGGTACACCCGACCGGAACCGCCAGGAGCGCTGCACCTGGAGGGTGGCTCCGGTGGTGTGACCTTGCTTCGGCTGCAGGAAGGTGTGCTGGTGCTGAAGAAGCAGCGCCTTGTCAACCATGCGCAGTGTGGAGCCATGTGGAGCCATGTGGAGCATCTCCTGCCATTCACTTGATATTCTTGATTACTGCCAAGAGATGTTTTTTCGCCCGCTCGGCCCTGCCTCCTTAGCCCTTAGCGCCTATTTAATCAAGTAAGGGACTAAACACGCTCCTAGCTACTTGGACGCTACTAGATATGGACGCTGGATAGCTCATGCTTCTTCAAGGAAGCTCCTCCGCTGAGGGTCGGGGGAGCTTCCTTGAAGAAGCGTTCGACTAATGATTTGGTTCCCAGGTCCTAGATTTTTAGGGAACTCACCAGCAGTGCTGCAGGGTTTGCCTGGTCCCATGAATGTTGATAGTGTGTACCAGTGGGCCATCTCGACATCAATTTGGGTACAGTAATTATTAATTATGTATTGGCTATTCAGTGGTTTCCCGTATACACATCTTGGATGCTATGCATCTGAGCAATAAATGCCAACCAAGGAGGATGACTGCAGCCGCTGAGTTTTTGGCAATCCAGGCGGCTTGTCTGAAATGTTCAATTCGTCTCCATTGATTCATAGCAGTTTCGGTCTGCACCCTGAAAACACAAAATGTCAGTCACTTGCTTTTCGTTCAGTGTCAACAATATACATATATGTATACAGTATATATATATATATGTGTGTGTGCCCTTCACAGAGCGTGGTTCTCTTCTTCACACACGGTAGATGGAAGTCCGTTCAAGCTATCATTATGCGAGCGAGTGCAGTGCTTTTTCAAGCAAACACACGAACACACTGCACCAACAAACCATGGAACAAGCCTCGATAAAACGGATAAAATGTTCGTCAACAACGCCAGAAGGTCAGGATGTTTGTGCATGCTGTCATGCTAGCATCCCAATTCTTCTGTTCTGTGGTGTGGTGTATTCAGTTTTTATTGTTGGCATTGACTTTCCGCTTCACTAAGTTCCATAAATTCACACCACCAGAATTGGTGGACTTCAAAGGTCTCTTGCGTGTTCGCAGTTTAGAGCCATGCAGCAATGCATGCCCACTCAGCAGCGCTTGCCCTCTGCCGTTTTGGCAAATTCTTTGGGTGGATGTTATACGTGAGGGTTTGCAACATTTCCTGCATATCAGTACCTTAGCCTAAGCACAGAAACATAATTACAAAAGCTATTATCAACAAAGAAGTTCCTCAAGTATAAAAGATTTAAACATAGGTTGCTGTGCTTGTCAGTCAGGTCGCAAAGGCTGTGGGCATCCGCGTCGCAGACATGCGAGTCTTGGTGAAAGATATTGAAAGATAGTTTGCACACAATAAATGAGAATAAATGCAGTGAACCTGACACAAAATTCGCAAGATTGTTGTAGTGGTCCGATAGCTGTTTTCACAATTGTTGAATGTTCACCATGCTTTATTTGTAATGTCATTGATGCCATTGTCAAACGGGCATTTTTTGATGCAAAATGATTCCGTGGCTCAGGATTGATCTCCTGGGCTGACCCTGAATATTCTGAGATCAAGGAGCTCATTCGGCGGACGTTGGGCAATATTATGAGTGTTAATTTATTTGGAAGGTTCCACGTGATTTTGTGGCTGTGACCGTGGCTTCCCTTGTTGCCAGTGTAAAGAACTTAGATAAATGCCTGGCCGGCTGCAGCAACTTTGGAAAGAAGGACCCTCTCGCTTTCCAGACATAATCCGAGCCAATGAACCAAGCTGTTATGGTGCATGACATGCCACCAAAAGTGATAGCTGCTAGCATCCTACAACAGCAAGACTATATCGAGCCATATCAACTCTTGATAGCCAGGAATGGATGTGTCTCACGCTAGCTGCTAGCGTACTCCCAGGCTACTAAGATCATTATATATATATATACAACGAAATCAAGGACCATGAACAATAATCACCTGGTAAACTTACGATCGACAACATGAAGTCGAGATAGCTCAACACTCTGAAATACCAAGCCTGAACTCGGTACTGAACACTTCGGATTTTCATATATTTTTATAATGCTTCCAATGCCTTCAACGCATTCCATGTTTTAATGCTTGCAGTGTCACCTTCGCCTCTTCATGCCCGTGCGGGTCCTCAACGTGGCGGAGAAACCCTCCGTTGCGCGGGAGATCACCCGACACCTCGGAGGGCCCAACATCTCTCGACGCCATTGCCATGGCTCACTCGTCACCGAGCAGCTCGGCATACCGAGGTCCACTGGAAGTCTGGGGAGGTTCCTTTTTTTGTTGTTTTGGACATGCGCTGCGGTGCCGTACCTACGTTTAATCCTCACTGTTTTTCAAGCTTCAAAGCCTTGAACTTAGCTTTCTTCCTTTAGGTTTCCCTTCACATTGCGGCAGACTCACTGCAAAATGCTGGTCACAGCCGTGCGGGGGCATTTGCTGGAGGCAGACTTCGTTCCACAGTACAAGGTTTGGAAGGCCAGCAATCCAGTCTCCCTATTCCAGGCGCCAGTGGAACGAAAAGCAATTCCAGGCAGTGAAGAGTTGGAGCGGATGTTGCATGAGCTCGCACGGCAATGCCAATGGCTGGTCCTGTGGCTGGATTGCGATCGAGAAGGAGAAGCCATTGCCTTCGAAGTCATTGAGACCTGCCAACGAGCAGCGGGGGAGCATTTGCAAGTCTTCCGTGCTGTCTTCTCAGCCTTGACCCATGTGGATCTCAACAATGCATGTCGAACTCTGCGAGCTCCTGATCGGCGCCTGGCAGACGCAGTGGAAGCACGGCAGATGTTTGACCTTCGAGCTGGCTCCGCCTTTACTCGTTGGATGTCTCTTCGGTACCAGGCAATGTTCCCAGAGCTAAGTGGTGAGACACTGAGCCACCAGGATTTGTTGAAGACTTTTTGATACTTTTTGTGCCGATTTGTTACATGACCAAGGGCCACCTTCATCTTGAACAACAAAGAGGGACATGTCCTTGATTGACACTTCTGGAGGTCCAGTGAGAACCTGGAACTATTAAGTATGAAGTATTGCATAGTATTGCCAATGCGACACTAGTGGTCATAGTGATCAACAGCGCTGTTGGAGTGTCAGCAAATGTCCAAACCGTTGGGCCTTTCTAGCCTTGAAAGAAAATTGAATTTGTTAGCATTTCTTAAATGTGTGCATTTAAAGATGGGGAGAAACCATCGAAGTTTTCACTAGCCGAGCCGCCTAGCCGCCCACGGTTGTCGAAAACCCACGCAGGCTATGGTCCTTGCCAGTTTCCCACCCTGGGCTTTGTTGTGGAGCGGTTCTTGCGAATTCAGCGGTTTGTTCCGGAGCCCTTTTGGAGCATCAAGGCTGAGGTTCAGAAGGACTGACTCCACAGACCCTCATCCAGCTTTGTTTCAGGGATGACATTTATGCGAGACAGTCAACATGGTCTTCCAAACTATCGATACTGAACACGTCGTACTGGTGCATTTTTTGGATTGGGTTAGAACTGTTTGCATTTTCAGGACGGGCGAGTGATCCCCTTTGGCTGGCGACGAGGTCGACTCTTTGATCGCCTGGCCGTTCTGGCGCTCTTCGAGTTGGTGGTCGAAGAGGCGCCGAATGGTGCCACAGTGGTGACTTGGAGAGTGGTGGGGTTGTCTCAGAAGTGGGGGACCACAGGAGAGCGCACAGGCGCACAGTTTCACTGGCGCAAGAGGAAAAATGGTGGTACTCGTATAGAGGTCCTGTGTGATGCGTCCTTGCCTTGTCACATAGTAGAGGGTGGTTTTCCTTGCAAGGTGAGCAACGTAGATGATCGTAGGTGTGGGGTATGAGCGTCCTTCCTTTGTTGGGGACGATGCTGATCACTCTACGTGCAGACAATCATAATCAAATCACATGAAGCCTTGCATTTTTTTGGAAGTAAGTATATATCAATTACTATCAAGAGGTTTATCCTGTCGTTGTCTTGCTTTGTGCAGCTGTTTGCATTCCATTTGCTGCAAGCTAGAGAAGTCTTCACTTAGGTGAATATCTCTGAAGAGCCGAAGACCCGCTGGAGGCCCCTGCCGTTGAACACCGTGGAAATGACCAAGATGGCAGCATCAAAGCTTCGCATGTCACCGCAACGATGTATGCACGTAGCAGAGGAGCTTTACCAGCGGGGATTTATCTCCTATCCACGCACTGAAACTGATCGCTCCTTGGCAAAACTCCTTTTTCAAGAAGCTTTCCCCATCTTTCCCCTTTGGTTGCAATCATGTATGTTTTGAGCAACTGGAAACTGACCAGGATTTCATCCGACTATAGACGTTCGAAACCTGGTCCAGACACAAAGTGCTTCCAGCATATGGGGTCCCTTTGCAGCGACTTTGTTGGCAGGACGTTTCACTCCCCCACGCGCTGGTTCCAATGATGACCACGCACATCCGCCTATCCACCCAGTGCACTGCTGCGAGCGAGGGGAGCTCACAGATGAGTCCTGGCGTGTCTACGAGCTCGTGGCCCGACACTTCTTGGCCTGCTGTTCACCAGATGCCCGGGGTTCGCGCACGGAAGTTGAGATTGTTTGTGGGGGTGAGTCATTCGTCAAGGCCGGGGTTGTTGTGCATGACCGGGGTTGGTTGGATGTCTACCCTTATGCCAATTGGGTTGAAGATGTGCTGCCGCACTTCAGTATCAATGAAGTCCTGGCATTTTCGACGTTAGAGATGACTGAATCTATGACACAACCTCCTCAACTACTAAGCGAAGCAGAGCTCATTGGGATTATGGATCGAGAAAAGATCGGCACCGATGCAACAATGCATGACCATATCCAGAAGATACAAACTCGAACTTATGCAATCAAGAATGCAGATGGACGTTTGCAGCCGTCTCGCCTTGGCATAGCTTTGGTGGAGGGATATCAGCGATTTGCAGTGGAAGAAGGCATGGACCTGTCAAAGCCTGTGCTCCGCGCGAGCATGGAGCGCGGCATGGAAGAGATTGCACAGGGTCGCCTGCAACGGGAGGACTTCCTGCGCGAAGCCCTGGACATTGCGCAGCGTTGCTATTCTGCGTTGGAACGAAACGCACCGGCCTTGGACCATGCGTTGAGTCAGTCCTTCACAGGACGTACGGAGTTAGGCCGCCAAGCGCCTGTGCTTCAGGCCAACTTTTCTAGCTGTCGCTGTGGCGCGACCTTGGAGCTGCGTTGCCACACCATAGCGGGAGACGGAGGAGGCCGGGCGGATGGAGCTGGAGGTGCAGGAAAGGGAGGAAAAGGACGAGGTCGAGCACGAGGTCGGGCACGAGGTGGGCGAGGTGCTCGAGCTGCTCGCGGGCGAGGTGCTCGGGGGGCCAGAGGAGGGCGTGCTGGAGCTGCTGGAGCTGGGAGGGAATCTCGAAGTGAAAGGTTCCTAGTTTGCCCCAATGCTGCCTGCGGAGTCGTCCTTCAAGTTCCCTCCAAGGCCGTTCAATCGCTGAGTCCCTTTGCACACAGATGCCCCATTTGCAACTTCCAGGTGATCCACATTCGGAATCAAGAGACAGGAAAAGATCACAAAATTTGTCCTTATTGCTTCAATCATGCCCCTCAAGACTTGCATCCTGGCGCCAATGACCTTCGGTGCTTCCAGCAACTTTGGCTGCATGATGCATGTGTTCTCTCAGTTCGTCTCTGAGTTCTCTTTGGTTTTCTTTCGCTCCAGGCACCATCGCGCTCTCGCGACGGCGATGAATCCAATGTTTACATTCCGAGCTTTGAGACTCACTTTGCAATCGCTCACGAGATTTGCTAATTATGTAAGCGGTATATATTTCTAATTTCTACACATTTCTACACCATCTACTCCACACTACTGGTTGCTCAAGCTCCGAGCCATAAATAGTGGTGGAACCTGGTTCACCATTGGCCAAGAATTTGAAAATCAGATCTTTCTGGTTTTGTATGTTGGTTGTTGTCGTGTTTTAACGGTCCACACCCTATCTCATCTCCTTAGCTGAACTGCAGGGGTGGGGTAGTGGCCTGCCTGTTTACCTAGTGTTGCACTCGGGGATTGAACCCGGGTCCGGCACATGAGGGATGCGTCATAGGCACGGTCCGACCATACCGGCCCTTTGGTCGTACGACTAGTGACTTTGTGCAGACGAGGTGTGCCCATCCCGTTTGTGCACTAGCGGGTGGCCGCGGAGCTCAAGCAGCACGGCCACCTGCTGCCATGAACTTTTGAGCTGGTCGTCACTGCCATTCTGCAGTTAGAGTCTCAAGCATGATTTTTGGCAGGCACTGCGACGCTGCTTGCTAATTTGCTTGGGTTGAACAACCTCATAAACTTGTTGAAGTGTGACCTCAGACCTTCCTTCAGGAAAGCGACCGCGGATGTTGGATTTCTCTCTGAAGGGTATGACTACGGGTCAGACACATGCAGGCCATTCCTAGTCAACATCCAGTGATCGGGTATTGCCAGTTGTTTTGTCTACTGTTATTAATCCACAAGTGCAAAAGTACACTCTTCAAGTCATTGCGAGAGTAAGTTCAACGCGCAAAGGCGGCTCGTGCGGAATTGCTGGCATTTTAGTGCTTGCGCAGATGGAGCCAGCCTGCAAAAATGTCTTCAGACTTGAACATGTCCACAGAGATGATTGCACTATATATTGCAGGCATGTGCAAAGATCAAACTGTGCCAGGGTTCTATATAAATCTACTTCAAGTACATTGAACAAAATAGAGTTCGCTTGTTCTTTTCCCAGACTTGGTGCAAGAAGGCGAAAAGACGTAAAACGCGAGCAACTTGTAGGGAGTTGTTGCAGGAGGCAATTCGCAAGACCCCATCCTTTAGCAAGAATCCCTTGCTGGGAATCTGGAGGAGATGAGAGTGATGATAGACGGCGGGCTTTGCATTGACAACACTTGTGCTTGATTCTCAGGGAATAGAGCAAACTCTAAAATGAGTCTATTTTGTGAAGGACGCTGTCTAATGCTAAAGATTTGAAAGGTTGCAAAGCAGAAATAAAGCAGAACTGTGCGTGGACATACATGTCTTGGCACTGATTGGCACTGGGTATCTCCAATATGCCATGGGAGGAGCACGGAGTTCTTAGGCATCCTAGAGTACATCCCTGGATGCACTGTTCAAGGTCCAGAAGTTCAACGGCGGCTTCAAGAAACTTTGCTGGCAAAACAGTACGAAGTGTGCGGTGCAAGTCCTTTTGGGGGACACTGTGGCCAAACCGGTTTGACACCAGCTTCTTGGTTAGTTCCATCCGCACGCACCCTGTTTGTGGCATGTGTTGCATATGATTCATTGATCCTCCGCAAGTGTCTCATCTTTGCTGGGCTGTTTGTTTTGTTCAAGTGAACTAGGAGATGCAGCCAGACTCTTTAAAGACCTTCTGGTTCCAGGCAGCCTAGAGACGGAGTTGCATGCATTCAGTTGGCGCGAGAACCAACATCAACCAACAATAGGGAGGTGTTTAAGGTGTGAAAGACAACTCCAAGTGATGATTATGTCAAGTTTTTCATTGCAGATGGTGTCAGAGGTTCCAGGAGCTTGTGTTACTTCTGCGCAGGTAGGTGAGATCGTTGCATTCGATGCCCTGATAAACAATGTCGACCGCGTCCCATTGCTTTGGGACAATGAAGGCATGACTCCGGTTGAAGACATGGCTCCGCATGTCTTGTCACTCGCCGAACGCGCGGTCACCCACCTAAAAAGCAGCATTTCGCCCCAAGCAGAACAAACTGTTTTTCTAACACACTGACCAACGTCTTGCAGCAGAATCGATGTCGAACTTCAAGGATGTTTATGTTTGACCTTTCCTGTATGTGATGGGGGCAAGCGCCAAACTTTGCCACCGGCCTCCTTGTAGGACCGATGTCGAACTTGCCGGCACTCTTTGGCAGGAAACACTGCGAACCTCATGGTGCTTGACGACAGTGCTGCCTCACAAAATGTCATAGGGATTGACCAGGCAGTTGCAGCCATTGTTGCTGCAGGCAGGACAAGACATATCTACTGTAAGATGTGAGCACCAACAGCCTATATTTCAATTGAGCTTACATATTCTCAGAGTTTGTCCAGGAGTGCAAGGATACAGACAGTCACATAGAGCTGTCTAAAGTCTTGTCGGGTTTTAGACGAGCTGCCACGTGAAAGCCAAACCTTGTCGATGTTGTTTTCGCACTTTATTCCTCACAGGTCCTGGGAGGGAACGCTTCTTGTCACGCCTGAAAGAGCTTGCAGAGGCGCTATTTTTGCAGAGATGGAAGGACCTGTGCCAAGGGCTCAATCTGTAAGCACAGTTACTGTAATTAATGTATGTTGAAAAGAGCATTAGATCAGGACAGCATGATTGGTCAGAAGTGTTGAGGCCGCGTTCCAGTGCTTCAATTGGCTCGCGGTTTACTTGGTACTCTTCGGGACTCATCAATCAGACTGGCTTCGCATGCAGTGATGAGAGGACTCTCCATCGGTCTCCGCACGTTTGGACCGAGTTGCTGACTGCTTTATGATACTTGGTGGCATAAGAAAGGGCAGGTGTTTTGTGTTCTGGGCAGGTTTACTGAACTAGTTGGATCCGGTAGATTGCAAAGTATATTGACAGGGATGAGTCAGAGACGTAAAGTTCCTGAGGATAATGTGGACAAGTCCCTGTGACGCCGCAAGTGTTCGTTGGAGTTGGGATGCAAGAATCATGCGTTTGGAATTGAAACCGACCCGCCTGATGGAGTTCAAGACAAACACCGATATTGTAGAATGGGACATCTATGTGGAGGTGCCTATCATTGCAACTGTGCTGAGGCTTAGTTGTGGCGTCCAGGTGGATAAGAGCACTTTCATGGCTGGACTACTGAAGGGTCTCACCACTGTGGCAGATCTCATGGAGGTGCCCACTCAAGTGCTCCAGCATGTCGCACTCATTCACTGCAAGCGTTTCAAAGCTGCGATCTTTCCAACGCTATCTTAAACAATTAGGCTACCTTGCTATACAGGATACTCATGAGAGGACCTCTAGTCTATATAAGATGTTCCAGTTCCTTCACTCTGACTGGGAGTGGTGGGAGGTGGTTTAAGACATGGCAGTTGCAAGGGAACTTCAAGGGATCTACCACCAAGAACACGTTCCTTAGCTATCCTTTGCTTGCACACTGCCTTAGAGATGACATGACTCACAAGAACACTTTCTCTACTAATCAAGGGGCTTTCATCTACATGAGTGCTTCCAATAGTACTCAGAGACTCACTACCACTCTAATTGCTTCTAACAACCATGCTTTCTCTACTTAAGCTCTTCATCAGTTCCCAAGAGAGGCGGGCACGCTGGCCTCCGCGCTGGATGAAGCCATTGCGAAGGCCGAAGAGGCGCACAGAGTGGGTGTGGCCTTTTGTGCTTCATTGCTTCTTGTTTCTACTAGCTTCTTGTTACTACTAGTAAGGCACTTGTTACTAGTAGCGATGCACTTGTTACTAGTAGCTTCTTGTTCTCTGTGCAAAGAACATAAATACAAGTTTGAAGACTCGTGCCTAGACAGAGTTGGAAGAAGCATGAATTGACCGTTGTAAGTGCATGCATGCCCATAGATTAGAATGGCCTATCCAAGTGGCCTGGGATTGGGAATACGTTTGGCCCCCTGGCTATAGCTGCACGTCGGCTCCGGAGTCAAGCAAAAGCACAGGGTTGCCAACTCCAGACTGAGACTGGACTTTACACCAGAGCCGGTTTGAAGATTTATTTAAGCCAATCAATTGCTGGTGTTTTGTTTCATGGCCAGATCTTCCGACCGGCCACAGTGGATACAGGCCACAAGGACAGAGCGTATGACCGCTTGTTGAGGTCTCTCAGGAAGATGTGAAGAGGGGACCCCCAGAACCACCCTTTGCAACGTCGTGTCACGTTGAGGAGAGACTTCAATCACACCTCACCTGCGATGATATGGTTTCATTATGTTTCATTGGAGACTATACCAACATCTTCCCTCACAAAACCAACTCCCAAAGGAGCTGCCGTTGATGAGAGACTTTCTCCTGGCCACAGCGGACACAATCGTGGCTGCCAGGCACTGGTAGTGCCAGTGCAGTTGGCAAGTTATGGTGAGACCCTAAAAAATTCAATCTGCCGATATTTGGTTGATAACCACAGCTTGTTGGCTGTCTCATCAAAGTAGAATGGAGCTTGAGTTTTTGAAGAAGACATTTCGCATCATGTCGCAAAGACCCATTTTTGCAGGCGAGCAGCTTCTGCTGCGTAGCCTCAATGACCAAGTTTGCTCATGATTCCTGTGCCTGGAATCGCAAAGATTTCAATAGAATGATGATGACCTGTTGGACCCAAATTGCAAATGCAGCAGCTCCGAGGCAGTCGATCCTCAAAGTTCTTTTCAAGTAATGCTGCAAAGCTTGTTTGCCTCAACACCTTGACCGCATCTTTTTTAACCACTAACAGCTCATCCTTGTGGTCCCTTTACTTAAAAAAAAACGGGATTTAAAAAGCTCTGGAGCACTGGAGACCAGCATTTTACTGCAAAAATATGTTGGTTTGACCGCTGTGGTCCATGACGCATGCACGTTGAGAAGAAGACATTATGTCTTGAGCTCAGCTGTGCAAAAGTCAATGGGGAGCGATGCTTGACATGTTGATTCCGTGTCACATGACAGCTTTCAAGTACACGTCGGCGCATACTTGAGTCGAGAAGGTCGATGGCCAGTGAACGACATTTATCTTGATTAAAAACATAGTAATAATAATGGTGTGCTTTTTGCATCGCTTTCAGTGGATTTGTTCATCAAGTCGTTGAGACTTTTGCCAATTAAATTTTTGGTTCAAACAATTCTGTTTGGAACCAGAGTTAGTGTACCAAGACAGATCATATCTTAGATCTTGCCTTGCTTTGGATGACTGTCTTGTACAGGACTTGACAGAGGTTGAACGAAAAATTGAGTGAGCGGTGGATGCTTGAGAGAGTGGGAGGCCGACTAGAGTTAGAGCATCGGAGAGGGTTGATGGCCAGCGAACACGGATGTATGCTGACGGTTGGGAAGATGGTTTTCCTTCATAAGGTGGTTCCTGATTCCTCTCTATTTTTCGTATGTTTCTTCAGTTGATGGCAGTACCGGCCTTGCTGGTTTAAGCGGCTTAACGCCTTGGTTTCACACATCATCGGGACCTCATACAATAATAGGTCCCAGTGATTCTTCATGTCTCAGGCTTCATTGGCCTGGTGCGGCAGGCGCCTTAGGTCAAAGGAGTCGGCCTTCCACAGGTCTTGTCGTCCGAATGGGTTTGGGAAAAAGCTTTTGAGGATGGTCATGTCATTTCTTCATGTACCTTCATATGACTTATGCTTACTTTGCTTACTTGCGCACTCCATGAAAAGCATAGAGAACCGGATGATTCACTCATAGGAAGCTCAGCCAAAATGCCGCGCTTGAAAGCTGACCAATAAATAGTCAAAAGTCCGGTCTTCATTGGACATAGACAGACCTGAATCAAACCATAGTCCATAGTCAAGCACAACCTCAGATAGACTGTCGCTTGTTTGTTTGGTTCGGTGCAAAGAACATGTTCGTGTTTCAGACAATTCCTTAGAAAGTAACACTCACGCCAAGGCCTTACCAAGATTTTGGCACTGAGAAGGACATCTCTAGCAGCAAACCACCCATTAAGATCATCAGACAAAGCAAACCATAAGGCTGGCCAATGTTGATTCATTTTGTAGCAGAGCTCTGAAAATCTTAGTATGTTTTCTTGGTCTGCTCTTTTTGGCGGGGTGCAGCTGTTGTTTGAATTTCAATTTCAATACGCATCAAGCTCCTGGGATCCAAGGCCACTGGTGGATGCTGGCCTCCTCCCTTCTTCAGCGGGTGTCGTCGTGCCACAACCATGACAGGACACAAACCTTTAAGCTTGGGATGCCACTTAAGGTTTGCGTGTCACGAGTTTTCATCTACATGTCCACTCACCACTCCATTTTGCTGATTGTTTGATGGACAATTTTTTCACAGCTGCTTTGCACAGGTGCTGCTCACCGTTGATGCCTTTATAGTCGCAAGAGGTGTTCGTGTTTGGGGGCAGAAACCTATGTAAGGGTGCAAATAATATTGCACGTGTTGTGTGTTGGCTGCAGAGTGTGTTTAAACAGAGATTGAGCTCCTCCAGGTACATGCTGTCAGCGGATACTCGGGAGGTGGTAAGGCGATTTTATTGCGGACAACATGAAGAACACCTCATCACTGGCACAACTGGAGTGCAACACTGCAGCAGTGACTTACTATCACCAAGAATCTAAATAGCTAGATTGAGTTTGAGACAGCAGCCACACTCTGGCATGCTTTCAAAAGTTGTGGCTGTTGCCATTGTCAACGAATCAAAGCTCTATGCTTGCCAGGGTCTCATCAAGACCTATGAAGAGGAGGAACATGAGCCATGGGGAGCGTGCCCCATGATTCGCCGTAATTTCATTCCGGAGATGGAGGTCCGTTAGGTGGAGCCCATGGCTACTAGGTTGGAGGCCATCTCTATTAGGTTGGAGGCCATCGGGGCCATCGCGGTTGGTTTTTCATGTTCGGTGTCGGGTGTGGGGTGCAATGCACCGAGGTACGGCTTTGCGTTGAAGCACAAGCATTTGGCTGAAATGGCCAAGTGGACAGGATTGAATGAGGCACACCTCGCCAAACGAAGACAAGAGGGCAACGCCTTGATTCTTGAGAAGTCAAGCAGTTTTTTAGCTTTAGTAACAAGAAGCTACTATATAGGGGCTCCTGGCCTTACTATATACTAGTAACTACTAGTAACTAGTAACAAGAAGCACTAGGAACATCCCTTACGGAATACAATGCCCATCAAAGCCCCGCTTTCCAGCACCGGATCCCGAAAAGAAGCAGAAGGGTGTTCGCGGCAGAGATTGCAGACCGTTCAAGGAACCAATCTTTTGTCCAGCTGTGGGTGACTTCAAGCAGGGAATGGTGGTGCCACGACCTCAGAGTGGATCGTGTGAGTTGGCTTTCAGAGGATGCTCCACCACTACAGGTCTCATGTCGCATTGTTTAGCATTTTCCCGCGCATTCTCCAGCTTGCTTTCTTATGTGCTTCACCGGCTTCACATCCGAGCACAGAGGTCAGTGCCGCTGCGCTTCTCACAGCTGCGGGAAGGACCGCTCCATGGTTTAGTGGCAGGCCCTTTCAATGGGCAACTTCTATCAACTTCTGTTTGGCGTTTGACAAATGTCATTCCGGTACTATATATATATATATATTCCGGTCATTCCTGCAGTCTAGAGTGTCAAAGGCAAGGTCCAAAGCTGACCTGAGAAGCGACTTTGCATTTCCATAAAACTGACGAAAGTTGAACAGGGGCAGTTGGTTTGTATATGTTTGTATCATCCTTATGCTGATGAGTCTGTCATGGGCAAGGGGAACTGCAGGGCTCGCCCAACAAACACGGTTCCACCAAGCCGAGCAAAGTGTGAACAGGTGACTGATGTAACCCAGACATACTGTAAGCCATGCTGGAATACAAAATTAAAATGGTCTTGCACGCTGAATTTGGTGCTTGCTCGCAAATAAGTTGAACTATCGAACCTGCATGAACCTGCCAGTGTCTCAAGAAGGGATTTGAAGCCGAAAGACACCACGGACAACTCCCAACTTGCAGCTAGTTTATTCATATTCAAGTGTGTCTCAAAATTTGAAGAGAAAAAAGACACATCCCTGCGTCCTCAAAAGTATGCAAAACTATTGATGTTTCGAAAAGAACACACGCACACACCCACAAAAACAACATGTTTTTGGACAAAACGGTATGTCTTGTTACTGCTTCTGTTTTCAACGAAGTGAGCAGAAAAGAGGTCTTCAAGCGGCAAATGCCTCTCGCGAAACAACGCAGAAACAGCTCAAAACAGCGCATAACCGAGGCACAAATGTTCAGACACACTTTGATTGAGGGTCGATGTGAAACGCCATTATTTTTTGGGAAGCTACACTTTTTAAGCCAAACTACGGTAAAGAATGCATCTTCACGAAACGACGTTAAAAAGACACTAGGGTGGCACAGGTCTAGATCTAATTACTGGTCGAGGGCATCACCGTTCAACGAAGGAGCAAGCGGTAAAGAAGTGCAAGAGGCACTGGCAAGCCATTACCAGGGCAGCCACTTTGTGTTTGGCTCTCAGTCAACTCAATTGATACAGGCACGAGTCTAGATATGGAAGTTCCATGCCAGCAGAATTTTGGAATGAAACACAGTTGCTTGGACGTACAAATACAAGTGTCGGTTCAAAGACACTAGTTGCATGGGTCAGGACAGTGAAGCCTTTAAACAGCATGGAAGGCTGGATCTGGGAGTTGAACCATTTCACAGCATGTCACAAGCAGATCTCAAAAAGTGGCTTGGCAGTTGGACATATGACATATGTCACCCTAGACCTTGTGCAGGCCGGACTCGACTGAGCTTCAAAGCAGAAGCAATCATAGGAATTACCTGAACACAACAAGACATGTACTACCGTCTGAACACAAGAGTTCAGGAAGCTTGATCCACGCAGATTCCAATGAAGCAAATGCAAGGTCAAGAAGTATCAAATGGTTTTGAATGCAATCTAGGATAGAGAAACGTACAGCTGGACAATCGATTGGCCGGGTCCTTTTTCGCCAATCTGTCCGCTGCTTGGAATGGCTGCCATGGAATTGTGCTCCAGCCTGAAGTCCGTGCGCCTTCGTAAATGGGACCGGCCTCACTTTGGGCTTCACATGGGGCAAGTTGCTCCCCATCATCAACGGGTGAGGTTGGGACTAGCACGAAAGGCTCTTGGGATCGTGCTTCGGACATACACAAGGGGCCGGGCGCGTCAACTGCGGGCCGTGAATCTGAGAATTAGAAGAAGCTTGCTGAAAAGAGTTCAGAATAAACGGAATCAATCCACATTAATACAGTCAGTTTCATTTGGGTGTATTTGTGTGCTGAGATGGTCCGAGGCACTCCTTTCCTATTCGCTTTGGCACCCAAAGCGCCCGTCGCAGCGCTTGGTGTGTCGGCCGGCGGTGGTCAGGTGCTCAATGGGGTGGCCCGGGCGAGACAAGCCAAAGCACGTTGCAATTTCTGGACACGTCTCGATGATTCTCGATGCTTCAGTTCGATGGTAAGAAAGGAAGTTCACAACAAAGCAAAGCAACAGCAAGGACCTGTGAGAGAGGACTCTGTGCTGTAGTATACATAAGAAAGCAGCAGTGAGACTGCGTTCCGAGGTATTATACGTAGATCGCTTGTTTGCAGCCATGGAGCAGCCTCACTCTGCCTTTCTGATTGCGGCATGTGTGGCAGCTGTGCATTCTGCCGCTGCTCTAGTTTTTGCTTACTTCTCATTCTCCGTGCAGAGTGTGGCATGTTCTTTGCCCTTGGTTCTCTTCGCCTCTGCATTGGCTGCTCGTGCCATCCGTGGTGATCCCGTCACCTTGAAAGGCATCGAAATTGGACTGGGAGAGAAGGGGCTGTTTCACCAACTGGTGGATGTCATGAATAGCCGCCAGGATCGACCTCGTTTTCTTTTTGTTGCGATGCCTATCAACCATTTTGGAGAAAGGATTCGCTGGTCTCTCGATTTGATCGGCGCGCCCTATGAAGAGTACACATCGGGAGGTTTGATCTCCGCTTTCCTGCGCGGCCGTAGCGTGCCGCAACTCATAGACCGAAAGTCCTGCAGCATGATTGGCAACAGCGATGAATGTCTTGCAACTCGGCGATGACTTCCAAGCCAGGATTTTCCCTACGAACTTCCCATTGCTTATGCAAAGGGCTCAGAATTGAAAACATGCTTTTGGTCTTTGGTCAATGCTTTGCTTTTGGAACATTCCTTTTGATAGGAAGAGAAGTCGGAAGAAGTGGCATGCACATGTCATGCCGTGATTTCTCTCTATATATGTAATGACACATGTATCCCTCTATATATATATATACTGATACTATATAATATATACAATTATATATACTTAATATGCTACTCTCTTTTTTATGTGCCGATTCCCAGACTTGGTGACTCCAAGACCTAAGGCATACCTCAGTGCTGCATATGTCCCCAGCATCACGAATTCCAGCCTCCGTTCCAAAGCAATCTCATTTCTGCGGACGGATGAGCAAACCATGGCCTGGGATGTGAAGCTTAATCAGCTGGGGCACCTTGTGCAAGGCATGGTTGTGCCGAGTGCTCAAAGCTGAAAAAGATTGGTGTGATCTCGTGAATCCGAAAGATCAATCCAAGAGGAATCACATGACAAGATAAAACCTCAATCTCCTTTCGTTGCTTTCTCATGCTTTCTGCTTTCTCCATCAAAAATGTATGCGTGTCACATCTTTGAGACTTTCATGCATACATGGCAACCAGTTCCCCGTGCAGGCTGGGCTTACTTCTATGTCCTGGACCTTGACACGACACCAGAAGGATGCTTGATAGCTTGGGGTGCCTACGAACCCAAGGTGCCTTTCTTCCATCGCCTCATCCTGCAGTTGGCGCATCCTTTCTTGAGGCGTTTTATGCGGATGGCATTTGATTTGTCGAAGAAAGAGGTGCGAGACAGCCGGCGGAAGATGATTGATGCAATTTTGGATGAAGCTGACACTACCCTTTCAAAGCAGAAGTATTTGACGGGAGAATCCTTGTCTCATGTTGATATCACATTTAGCGCCCTGCTTGCCCCGCTACTTGCTGCACGTTTGGTTTGGAGTCCTCGATCATACTACGCAAATGGCCGGTTCACCTCATTCAATGGCGCAATGAACCGGATGTTGGACAAGTGGCCTAGGGCACTTAGTGAGTTTGAACAAAGCCTCATGGAGAGGCCTTGTGCGAAACATGTCATAGCACTCTATGAGAACTTGAGGTCAAAGCAACTCTAGCACCTACTCAGATGCTCAGCGCAGAGCCACGAAGGAACAACGTGCGAACAGGTTGCAATGATCATTTTGTTGCGTGTGAGAGCCTTCAGACTACTGCACTATGTGGCCATTTGCCAATTTGCCCTCCATGCATGTTTGAAAGTACTGTAGTATTTGTTCTAACAGCTTTGTTGTAGTGGCCCAGGTTGAAGATGATGAACACGCCATGGCGGAACTTCGGCTGAATATGTAATTATTTTGAAGCTTCCTTTGAAGGCCTGAATGTGGGGAACGGATAGAACAGGCCTGAAAAGGTATCAACTGAATAGCTGAATATCCGAGAATCCCTGTCATTTGGTTTCTAAGATGCTTTATGTAGTAGTAACAAGAAGCTAGTAGTAACAGGTGCCACGCTAGTAGTAACAAGTGCCTTACTAGTAGTAACAAGAAGATGTATGTGAACCCCTGCGACCACCCCTTTGGTGATCGCATAATCTTGGTTCTTCTCTTCAGAGGAAGCTTGTGACTAGTTTTCATGTTTCTCTCCAGTGAGGTTCAAGCGTGGCTGCAGACCATTATCATCAAGATCGGCCTATGCCCTTGGGCCAAAACAGCCGACGAGGTAGGCTCCTCACCATCTTGCTTCAACTCTTGCAGTGCTGTCAGCATGTGGGACAAGATAGAAGAGAAACATGTTAGGCTCGTCCCTTGCTTTGTGTGTCAGCACTTGCTGAAGCCTAAGATGCTATTTTGCCACGTTGTTCAATGAATGCAACCGCGTTTAACGCGTTTCTGTGTGGATGTTTGACTTAATATGATCAGTTCATCCTCGATACGTTTCATCACACATCACAAGTCATGAGATCGCAGCACTTCATCACGCCACATCGCACGTCGCATTGCCACACACTTCATGGCACCACATCTCGCCGCGCATAAAATCACGTTGAAGACCTCAGCAGAACGGCCAAGTGGAAGTAGCTTCAGCTTAATGTAGCTCAATACTCTGCAGTTTGCGCAGATTGCATTCTCTAGGCTGGTGGCATCCGCGTGGTCACCAGCTTGGCTTCCTCTCCTGAAGATGCACTCTTGGACTTGAAAGCGGAAGCGGCAAAGCTCAAAGGCATCCTTGCTTCCCTGCTTGCTCGCTTTGGTTGTTCTGAATCATGCTCATTGAAGTCGTGAGATGTTCAAGGCAATTTTTGTTTATATAGACATTTTCTGCGGTTTTCTTTGTTTCTAATGGCAATGGGCTCCAACCCTAGGAGCGATGGCCTCCAACCTAATGGCAAACTATATTAAAGCCGTTGTTTGCTTAAATTTGTTCCTTTACAATCGGCGGCTCATGCCTACTTCCAAGCACTGTCAGGCTGTAGTTGTTGACCGTCAGGTTCACTGGCTGCATTACCGCAGGGATGCCCTACCACAACCCTTCTGGTTTGCCCAATGGTTGGAGAGTGGGAAGAGTTTGCAAGATTCAGTGTCTTCCGCGAAGAAGAACTTCTGATGCTTTGCAGAGATTATTGTGCGATGACTTTGTATGCCAAGGTCACCTTGCACCAAAAGACAACTGTTGACCAGATGCAAAGAGCAGAAGAGAATAGAAGCATTGAGGAAAGAAGAAGGCAGTATAGAGGTGTACCACCCTTCTTACACCCGGGAACATTACGTAACATGGAACCTGAAATAACAAAACTTTGGAATACGATTTTCCTCTACAACCCAGTGGTTTTCAACTTCCATGTTAATCTTCCAGGGCGGAACTGATGCTTTGGTGAGGAGAGGTGGGACCTTTGGAGAATTTTTTCTTCGTACGAGAAACCAATAGCTCCGTGTCTTCAAACCGAAACCTTGATTTGTAATGTTTATAATTCGTTAATCAGTTGTCGCACTGATCACCGAACTACTTTCATCATGTCATCAACTGAAAGATGTATTCAAGCTTTGCAACAATCAGGCAGAGCCTAGGGCCCAGTTCACATCTAAAAACACCTAGAGAACTCTATATCAGGTTTTATAAGCTAGAAACACTGATATATTGGATCACTGTGGTAACAGTGGGTATCAGTGCATCAGTGTTTGAAGAGACTTGGTAGATCTTGGTAGCATTTAACACTCACTATCCTCCTTGTAGCTTTCAAGACTCCGAAGAAGCTAACTATATTTGTTAAAAAAAATCTCAGAACCTGGAAAGCTTTCTTTGTACACTAAAACCATGTGCGGCGGGTAACCCTAGATAACCCACATCATACTTGTCTTTGTCCACAGACTTGGTGGAATGCTTCAGCACTACCTCTAACATGCTCAGCAACTTGCGGAAACTATACTATACAGTAGCTGTACAGAAACTGCACACTGTTGTGTCACCAAGTAGCTGCTGCTGTTGCTGCGGCTGCTGTGGCTGTGGCTGCGGCTACTACTACCACTACTCAACTCGGCTACTCGGGTTACAGCTAGAGATGCTTCGTGCAACAAAATGTGTCCACAAGCTTGGTGCCCTCACATGCAACAATATTTTACATGCCACAGCATGCCACCGCACTGATGCAGTCATTTTCCTGAAACCTCGTACATTATACCTTTGAGCACGGCAAAGAGTTGTTTTATGTGTTTTTTTTTCGCACTTCCTTTCGAGGAATGGTGACGCGCTAACTGACGAGTTCCAATGCAAGGTTGTTTGCTTTCATCCTCACCAGCAAGTTTCTTGATTGCGCCTTCACAATGGGGCTCCAATCGTTCCAAGGTTTTGCAAAGTCGCTGTTTGAGCTGCCAACAGAAGCTCCCTCGGCATCCGTTGGCCAGTTCGGTAATGGATTCTACTCCCTGGTCAGAAGGGGATGATGACAATACACTGCAGTTTGGCCATTAAACATATTAAACCATCCGTCACCAGTTCGGAGAACCTGCCCGGTGCTGGCCGCTGCTCATTTGGTTTCGTTGTGATCAACAAGCTGTGCCATGTTGGGCTAATATGATTTTGTATGGTTGACGGGCAGTGATCGACGTTGGTGCTTGAGTTGTTGAGGAGTTTGGGAGTTTTTGGCAAAGACCTTTCGGATGTTCTACGAGTGAGGCTTCTAATAGCTACGGGCTGAACCCGGGCGATGAGATCCTTGTGGCACAGAACGGTCACGGGCATAGCATGCCTCAGTTGTTCGCTTGCGACGCGATGTTTGGAAACTGCACAGTTGTTTGCAACCGTAGAAAGGTCACCGTCATTCTTTTCCAAAATTTCTGGATGAGGGCCAAAAATTCAAGTAGTAAGTGGACAGGTCGACTCTCATGCTGTAGAACCTTTGGGGTGTTTGAGGGAACAATTGTAGCAACCCAAGAAATGCATGCAGATGTGATGCTCACCTTCCCTTTCATTCATACTCCAAGCCAAGATAGAACCCAATAGTACTTGTTTGCATCTTCACAGCGGCGCATTGTTTGGAATGAATGAGGCTGACTGATGTTGTCACAAAGTGTTGAAGATAAATGACTCGACAACCCACTGGTCAGGTGAGCAGTTCTCCGCCAACGTACTGGAGATCAGCGGCAGCACGCCAAGAGATATCAAGGTGCAGTGCCCTGACAAAGTGGACAGATGTTCCGAGAAACCAGAGCGAGTGGGGTAATGCAGGGGACGCTTGACACCCAAACCATAATATTATGCTTACGCACCAGGGTCTGATGGAAAAGCCAGGCAACCTCAGCTTCAGACACACGTATGCACATGCACACCCGCACACGCACCCGCACGCACACGCACTCGCGTATTTTCGTCAAACAACGTCAAAGACAGAGGAAAATGATCAAACATGGCTACTGTAAAGCTTTATCTCTAGAGAAGAAAGTATGCAAAGGGGAGAGGAAGTTTTGAGGTAGCTTTTGTGTCGAGCACCATTGGCATCACCAGAGTACAAGCAGCTTTGTTCATAAACGACATACAATTTGCACGTTTGGTCATGCACCAAAGGCTTTGCATCTTTTCCTGCTGAGACTCTGCTGATGCTAATAGTGCTCGACCAATATTTATCCTCAAAGGTTGTCTCCATTTCAACGCTTTATTTCCTAGAGGCGTTGAAGCTATAAGCTTTACAGTTGCCATGTTTGATCAATTTCCTCTGCTTTTGACTTTTTTTTGACGAAGCCACCTGAGCCCTGGGGATGTTCGAAATGCGGGTCGGCAGCATGGAGCGCGTCTCCATATAGCAAGCTAGGCTTGATACCCCCACCGGATCGGCGTCGTCGTATAGAATGGGCTGTCGCCCCGGTGCCGCCGACCCCTATGCTTTGACATAGTTGCCCAAGCACTTCAGGTAAAACTGAAGGATGGTAAATTGCTGGAATTGGGTGTGAAGGTCATGGTTCAATACGCTTCGACCACATGACGACCAAAGTGAAGATGGACTGCCCGCTTGCAACAGGCAAAAAACTGAAAGGCACTTCTTTTTTGGAAGGCGCCCTTAGCCGCCTTAGTCCATGTGATCCTGCGCGCCGCAGAAAGTCCCAGACGGCAGATTTGCAACCAAAAAAACTTGGCTGGCCAGAGGCCTGAAGGTGCCTCTTGCCACAGCCTTAACCCTTGTCCTGCGAGCAAATTGGTCGCTGGAGACGTGTGGCTGGAGAAGGAACCAGAGGACAGGCCACGAAGGCGCCCCTCGCCACAGCCTTAGCCCGTGGTGTTCTGCGCGCAAATGCTGCAGCCAGAAGCGTTGAGTGGACAGAGGCGAACATTCCATCCTGCGGTACCCCACATGCTGCATCATGCCTAAGCCAAGGTCGGCGGATACGTGACTCCACACTCGCCAAACTACGAAGTCTCCTGAAACCTTCCTCTATTCTCAGCGACTCCGTCCAACAGATGGACCGTTTTTCTGGACCGAGCAGTTCCTGCTTCTCACAGAGGCACTCTCTTCCAGTGTAACGATATTATGATATTAATGCAAAAGGTTCCTCATGCTTGGTTGATCATAGTTTGTTCAGGAACTTGGACTTGAAATTGTCTCAGCGTAGTGGAGAGATGCTGGTGACGAACTTTATTGATTCTGAGGATCAAAGCCGCGTGGGGAAGGTTGTTTTCCTGGTTGCGCATCGCTTGAAAGGTCAGTAGAGGTGCTTATTGCCTACCCCAACCAAACAACGTTTTTGCAGAACCAACCAAAATCCTGAGGGTAGCTAGTTATTTAACTAATCACAAATGGTCAGATTGCTTTCATTGACCACAAGACCCGTGTTTCTCAGGTTGTTTGGCAGAGTCAGACAAGGCAGGTACTGTTTTTGTTGTTGGCACACTATTTAGATGTCCACAATGGTAAACACAGGAGCCGTTAAAGGCACTCGTGTTTCATTGTGCATCGTCTTGTTAATAATGGTCAGCTGGTCCCACCAGAGTATTTGTCGTCAGGCGAAACTGATGCTGAGATGGTCATTGAGCCATTCCTCGACAGCGAAGATCACATCGAAACCATCCCTGAAGTGGACGTGCTTCAGCGGTAAAGTATATATTTTTCATCTAAGATATTCTAAGGGTGTCTATTAGCAGTTTCCATCATTACTGTAGTGGAATCTACATGTGCACTTACTTCAAGACTGTAGTTGGATGTGATGGGGCAAGTCCACTAGCTTCTGATGCTGCGCAAGGCGAGGAAACCTTGAATAGATTCATTTGTTTTTTTGTTTTGTGAGGTGTTGCAACTAATTGGCCGTGATGCCCTTCAAGATGAGGTCAAACTTTTTGCGAGTGTTCTGTCACTGACATATCAATCTTGATTGCAGAGAATCTGTCGGCCCTGTGCAAAACAGAAAGATGTGTGGCACTCTTGGAGCAACACAAGTTGCCCCTTTGACCAGCTTCGACATCGCCCAGCTTTAGCGCAAGTTGACACGCAGGAAGGAAGCCGCAGCATCCTGGGGCGAGCGCCTCGAGTGGTTCTGCACCTGCTGCGGTGTAAAGACCTGGAGGTTGCAGCCTGAGATTTGAGCTACTTAGCCTATGTAACCCAGATTGGCAAAACCAGAGAAATGTGTGTCAAGCCTATGTCATTATATAATGCTACTGCCAATGCTATCGCCCTATCTTTAAGTGTTCTTTTGGTCCATCGCAGTGAAGTGCTTCTTACAATCCTCACACGGCAGGCAATAGATGACAAGAAGGTGGGGAGTGCATGGGCCGTGCAGTTGATAAGCCTGCCAACAGACTCAGTTCCAACCAAATGTATTACTGTACATCAAGGGTCCAAAAAGCTCACACCTTTAGGTGGCTTCAATCATGTGTTTGTGTTTGTGTCTAACATGACGTGACCTCATGGAGTAGGCCTTTGAGACTCTGGAGCGGAACGAAGAGGCCGGCAGGAAGACGCTTGAAATGGGGCAAAAAGATGCAAAAAGAGACCATATCAATCCATATCACATCTCCTCACCATCCAAGAAGACACCTCGTTCTGCAGGTCGTGGAGGAGCTTGGCCTCGAAGGCTTTGATGAGTTGCTTGAAAGATGTGGTTGATGCCATGCCTCGACTCACCACGTGAGCACAGCCAACGCTGAGCACAAAGTGCCCGACATGGAGAATGGGGGAACCTCCATTGGCCATGCGCCTCGGAGTCGGATGTCACACTACGAGAGTCGACAAGAGGTTTCCTCCGGCCCGGCAATGACCGGCGATGGGCTCGAAGTCCAAGCAAGCCCCGAGATGCCCCGAGCCCCAGAGCACAGCCCCACTCCTCTGATTGTTTGGAAATGCATTTGGTAGAGCTTGCAACTGCAGCCATGCGGCAGAGTGGAAGGCAGAGAAAATTCTTCAGATGAGATTCTGTACTTCTGCTTTCTTGCTGAAACTCTTATTACGTATACATCCCGTACCACTACAAACTGACCATAGAGGACGACAAAATAAACAAAATGGGTTTGCAAATGTTTGCCTTACTAGTAGTAACAAGGACGCTACTAGTAACAAGTGCATCGCTTCTAGTAACAGGTGCCTTACTAGTAGTAACAAGAAGCTAGTAGTAACAA